GTAAGTTTTCACCAAGAAGTTAAAAATGGCATGAAGCGGCATATGTAACGTTAGAATACATGTTCTACACAGAAACTTTCAAATTGGCTATCTTACTGAGATTCAATGCAGCTTGAGGCATGTCCATTGTGACATTCGTTCATAAGTCATCATAAAATTTTCATGCCATAGATTATTCAAGCTGAACTGTTAACTAACTGTTCATTCATTTGATTGATTGATTCCGTGTTTACATTTCTCAAGAAAGTGGGCATTATTAACAGTTGTGCTTACTTGGGAAAACTATTTGGCTCCCTCGGTGTCTCCAAGGAAAACTGCATTCTTCAAATCTTCAACTGACATTTCCCTCAGTGTCTTCAGGTCATCTGGTCTGCATTGGACCAAAGTCTTCTGTCATCACGAGTTTCTCCCAGGCAGGACAGGAACATCAGGACACACCTAACCATATGAAAGAATCCTGATCATTAGTATATGGTTCTAAGGGCATCTCAAGACAACACTTTAACTGACCATAACAATAAAATCAATGGAACTTCCATTTGCTGGAATGGCTGTAGAAACTTTGGAAATTTATTTTTTTTGACGACTGGTAGTACATGTGTTATGCCTCTGAGTTTTAACATAGCTGCGAAAAAATGTAACATTGGAAGTATTGTCTCACCTGTACAAACTCTTCACTGCTCTGTGTCTTCAAGAAGTCGCCCGTCATCACAGGTTTCTCCCAGTCAGGACAGGAACATCAGGATGCACCATTCTATGCATGATACGGGATAATCTGTACAACGCAACAAGCAACCAGGTACAGGTGAATATAGAAAAGTATGTGAAGTATATGAAGAAAACTTACTTATTGGATCTGCATAGGCATTTTCTAGCCAGTATGTACGTAGTTATAACACTCTGTCAGACACAGTAACTGCTGACCATATATATAGACTCATACTAACTAGTAACTTTATTATTTGCCATACATTGTACCCGTGGCAATCATTGTGCAATAAACTTTGACTTTCAAAGTTGGAAAGGCCAAAAAGTTTGAACATTCTTTAAATTTCTATATGAAGAAAACACAAATTTGCCTAGATTAGAACAATATGAACAGTGTTGTTGTTCCTACATACCAGCAAAAAAGGCCAAGACAACAACAACAAATGGAATCCTGATATTAAATATACTCAAATACAAAATGTCCCACAATAATTTGTGTGCGACGAAGGAGATGGAAACTCCTTGGTGCTACATATCGTTCCACAAAATGCAAATTTCTGCAGAATAAAACGGTTAAAATGACGAATTATAACGTGGTCTGTTGCTACAGGTTTGTTGGAAGTACAAACATGACATTGTATATTTATACCCTGGATGCCAAACTAGTATCGGGCCGTTAGCCGTTTTCCTTCGGCAGCCAAGAGCCCTACGCCCGCCTATCTAAATTACCGCTATGGGGGAGTTGAGCCCGAGGGGTTTGTAGTCCGACCCTTTAAATTAAAACGCAAAATTGTACAAACGACTTATAACGTGGTCTGTTGCTACAGGTTTGTTGGAAGTACAAACATGTACATTCAAGGAGCTAATTTGTTGTCCTACCTCGCAAGAACAAGTCTTTTTTCATGGCAGTCGCCATTTTCGTTCCCAGTCTCCACTGCAAAGGTCATGGAGCTGCAGCCGACGCACAGCGGCGGGACAAGTATCCATGCGCAAATCTACGCCGACTGAACACGCACCATAATTCAACTTTTACAGTCTCAAAACTGACGTATTCCTCTAACATTTACCACAGGTTCCATCTCGATGTCATGCACAAAACAATCTCTGCACCCTTCTCTAGTATTGTGCAGCACTACTTTGTGCCCGGACTACTTTTGAGGGGTTCGCCCATAAATACTGTGTTGTGCGGCCTTAGTGTGGACCTTTCCTTGGTGCTGAACTCACCATCAATTCCATGTATTAAGTATTGCAGTTGTGGCCTCAATACTTTACACGACGTTTTGTTTGACACAACAGTACACCCATAGAAAAGCAAGGTATTGATGTATTTTAGTACATGTATATACAGAATATAGTACACTGAAGCCTGTATATCATGATAAAGATGATATCAGGGGAAACAGTTTGATCACAAATGCTGTTGAAAATATATCCCATTGCTATATAGAATGAAACAACAGACAATCATAACAAGTGCTCTCCTAAATAGGAAAATGTACTGAGTTCTCCGTCATATTTGTAATAAAAGATTAGTCACAACCTAAAACTAAATATTAGTTTGAACTCTTTCAGAAATGACAACGAATAGCAGGGAGGGCCTAGCTTAATCAACAATGGCAATTTGAAAAATTCAGAGGATCGGAAATATGCCCTTTCCAACATCTTTCATTGTCAGTTTTAAGGGTCTGCATGGGGGGTCCCTATCACACTTCGCATGCTAAATTCTGTAAGGCAGCGCCAGCGATTTACATTTGTTCAGCTTGGTTTCACGTAGATAACATTTCATTTGATATCATATTTTGATATATATTTATACAGGTTAGCATATCGCCTAAATAGCGATATGCTAACCTGTATAAATAAATAAAAATGAAATGAATGAAATGAAATATTGAATCGTTGTTCAACTTCAAATTATGCAAAATTGAAATGGCACGGTGCAGAATGCTGCAATTAAGCAACGACCACGTATTATGGTTCACTTGTAAATAGCTGGACGTTTTATCACAGATGAGAGTTTAATAGTGAATAGATTGACCCGACTTTCCATTATGCAAACCTACTGAAATGGCTGGTTACGCTTTGCGGCATGCAGACCCCATTTTTGAAAGAGTTTATAAATAAAAGCCAACTCACAGTCAAGTCCGATGTTCTCTTCTCTTGTAGATAGGTGACAGATCCTTCAGAAACAGGTAGATCCACCTGGGAATAATAGTCCTAGAGTGTGGACAGGTACACAGGACAGCTGACAGGTCCCACAGCACACACAGGAGACAGGTCCCACAATGTCAGCTATACATTAGCAGCCGCAGTCTCAAGCCTAGGGTGTAAAAGAAATACACATTTAGAAAGATCACAGGCCAAGTACTAGTATAACAATTACTCAGAGCATCATGGTTTGAGTTCTAAAACCTGCTTTGGGTCGGGGGCAAGAGCAAGTTCTGAGTGGGTAAAGAGCAGAGCAAAATTGCAGTCAACATTCAATCAAAAGTCAACATATTATTAGGAAAACATATAATATCATGACCATGGAAAATCAAAGTACATCTCACATAAAATACCTCAGAATAGTCACCAACAACACACAGGATGCTATTCAAACATCAGTTGAACAGCATTCAAGCACATCTTATATTGACAGAACATTATGGGAAAATATGGCTTAAATAATGCATCCGTGAATAGTTTCATCAGGATGGTAAGTCTTTTATTCAGCCGACGTTTAGGTAACCGTCTGTCACCTTCCTCAGGGCAATTCTGACTGAATCACATCGCATTGCAGCACAGATGTCGCTGCTACATGATGCATATAAATCAGTAAAAAATTTCAGAAAACAGAGGAAGAAACGAGCGTATCTAATGTAGTCATGTTAGTTCAAAACGGACATGAAAATAGCGTCTCCGAACGGCGGCTTTACTAAGTGCAGGTTTAAACACATGGAATCGTCACCGGCGCAAATAATTTACGCCATTTTGCGTTTTAGCTTCATTCCATCATCCATTCTTTTTGTTCTTTCATTGTGAGGCAGCCACCTAGCTTAAGATACTGCTGCCTTTTTGTGGCTAATACGAGATGGGGTTCGCGAAGGCCTCCATCCATGAAAGGCGTGTAAAGTGCCTTTCCCAAGGGCACAAGATCGGCGACATGGCAGGATTCGAACCCGGGACCACATGGTTCTGATCCGAATTAACGCTCTGCCGTTGCGCCACACGACCCCAACGAATTACAACGAGTTCGGCTCAAATACGAGAACATAGAGGACAATGTTAAATGCGACTCACCTCCTTAAACGGACATAGCTCGTCTTAAAAGACGAATTTTAACCGCCGAGTTCTTCCCTGTTCAAGCACCGCGACTTGCCATCTTGCTCTGAGCAGCAGCGTGGTCCTAGCACCTGACAAGGAGTCACCAAAATTTGCATATTCTCAATTAGATAATTAAGTTAGGCCATGTTGATTTCATTATATGGATGACATCCACTGGGAACCCCAAATCTGATGCGAGCGTGCGAATAAAAAAAAGTTGCCTTCATTCTGAAATCTAGGTGGTCATGAAGGTTGAACAAATGACTAAACACACAAAGTAATATTTTATTGGCATGGTGAATAATAGATTCTTCATTTTCATTTCTTCACATTTTCTTCTCTTCCTTTATGATGGATTTTGGCATTCTGTGACATAAGGCCACAGCAAGTAATTTTTATGGATGACATCATCGCGCGCATTAATTTTCGCCTGATTTTGGGAAAAAAAAGAAATTTTGTTGCCTTCTGACAGTGGTCGCCATGCCAAAAATGGGCAAAGATGTCTGCTGCCATGCCGGAAGGTGGATGGCAGATATCTATGAAGAGATGAGGCAAGAAAAGGCTCTGGTTTAATGTTTTGTCTTTTTACTTTGATGGAGTGATATGTGATGCTGGCTGTGTATATGTGATGTTCCCACTGATTCAAAACCATTTGTACAATGCTTGAGTCAAAATTTTAAAATGTAGGAATCTTGTTTTTTCGGTCCGCCTTGTTTTTTTCGCCCGATCGCATTAGATTTGGAGTCTGCGGAGGATGTCATCCATAAAATTTACTTGCTGTGGCCTTATTGGTGTTCCTCTCGTGTCCTTACACAATGTTGCTGTGTAATAGAGTTAAAAGATTGCCGCAGGCAAATATGAACGTGGATTCCGTCAAACCGGTTTTTACGTCATTGCCCTATCCAGTCTGCACATGGGGGAGGGGAGCGCATTCAGTTATCCTGTAAGATATTATCCCTGTTTATCCTCGGCTAGAATTTCACGGTATGGCTGAAGACCATAGGCAGATTGTCAATCAGAATGAGCAGCTTTCGGTTGTACCCGAACAACCTGGGCAACCTTCGGGGGCATTGCAACCAGCTGTAGACGCCCCGGTCAGTGCCTCGGCAAGGGAATGGGGTCGTGTGAAGCTTCGAATCTATAACCAAAGTCGGAGTGGGTCTGTACTGGGGGAAGGCGCCGGAGTAGGAATCGGGATCGCTGCTTTCTACTTCCAACATGTGGATCTAGTCAGACAGGCCATACGTAGATCCGTCGAACGGAGCGATCCCGGTAACCCCAACCAAAGACCCGACCCGGAGGTTGGGTTGGAGGTACAGGTGGGCTCCCTTCTTGTCCCCGTGATTTTTCACTCCAAACTGGGGTACGAATACTTCAGCTCCATCCTAAACGGTACCTTTCTGAAGGCCTGCCTGAGATCGGAGCTGGAGAAAGCCGGCTACGGGGAGCCCGTGGACGTGAGCGTGGAGAAGTGGGAAGTACCGCCGACATCTGAGGCGAGGGTAACCCGCGCAGCTAGCCTGCTACCGGGGACAACGGGACAGTATAACGTGGAGGCCGTGTTGTCACCCGAAAAGGTGAGTTATACCTCTTGTTGATTCATAGGGAAAGTTCTAATTATAACAGATAACCTTTATTGTACATTCATGCGCTATCGGGCTAATAAGTACCTAGGTGAACAGATGAAAAGGTATACACACGTTTGTAGTACAATCGGGACTTCTTCTGTCTCAAACGAGTAAGTTCAATGACCTGGAATCTATTACCATGGTAACGGTCTTTCTGTTATGTTTACCTTCGTAGAAGGAAAACATATTGTTTTTGCTCAGTTTCCTCTCCTCCAAACACATAAGGTCAATGACCTGGACCAGATGTCTCTCACCATGGTAACTGGTGCGGTAGCAACACCCTGTGGTGTGGGATGACATTATGTAGCAGAACAGAGTTGGAGTGGGAACTCACCATATACTCGTACATGAATGAAAGTATTTGGCTTTGAGTAAGAATGCAGTTCAAGAATGTTACCTTTCTAGTTATCTTTTTTTTATTTTTCAAACGCTTCCCCACCGCAGAAACTACAAGATTCTCTTCGCACAACAGAGGAGGACTCGGGTGCACCGCCCGTGAGCGACTTAGCCGGGCTCTCCGTCTTTACACCTGACGAAGATGGGCAACGGAAAAAGGACGATGATACACCGTCTGGGAAAGGGGGACCGAAGAAACGCCCGCAGATAGGCCTGAGAGCCAGGCTACAGCGGCACAAGGAGTCAACAACGGCGAAGACAATGCTTCAGGCGTACAGCTGCTTGGAGAAGGGAGCGGCCATGCTGGTCTCTAGCGAGTATCAGGAGGGGGAGGGGGTCAGGCATCTTTTGGAGGGGCTCGTGCTGATGGAAGAAGTGCTACCAGGGGACGTGGAGACAGTCCTGTACGGTCAGCACTGGCTGAACCTCGACAAGGCGAAACTGAACCACCTGCTATGTACAGAGCTGCGAGATAGTGCTGAGAACACCCCCTGTCTGCTGCTACAGGCACTGCAGCTTCCGACGGGAGACAGTCGACTGCGGGCCATAAACCATGTGATCGACGTCGTCCTCCAGCGAGGAAAACCAGACGCCTTATACAGCGACCTGGCGTACATATACTTCGCGCTGTGTTCCACACTGTGGACTAGCACCAAACATTCAGCGGCCACACTGTCCGCCTGTGCCAGCGCTCTCATGCATCAACCACGCCACCTGTCGA